GTTTTCGATTGATTATCGATGATTTTTCCGTTCAGTTTTCATTTTATTCGATTAATGATGAGAATCAGCATGAATTTAGTAGAATTTAAGCAATTTTATCGAGTTCAATCAGTTGAATATGATTCTTTCCAAAATCAAAATAAAAAAAAACAATTCATCTTTTTAATCAATTTATGCTATTTTTGTTAGAAACTCGATTTTCATCGAAATCTTTTTTACATGAATTTACTGTTTTCTTTTTATCATATTAATTAACAAATAAATATTTGATGAACATTAAAATAAAATTTGTACATAGCCATTAGTTTGATAAAGTTGTATTCTTTTCTTTTTCAAACTACCCATAAGTTTTTATCTTTCTTTAGATTTCTATTCTTTGAGAAACACAAAATAATCAAAATAAACCTACAAATTACAAGGCTATCTTAACTTATTCAAAGTGAGACATTTATGACATTCAATTCGTTTGTTTTATATTGGTATTAATCTTAAATGTATTCGACAATTGACATATTATACTATTGCGAATTATCTATATGAAAATCTTCTTATCTTAAAAACACATAAATGTATTGAATTTCAAAATAAACCCATTACAATTTCTAAATCTAACATAAGATACATCAGAAGTATCAGATTAAATAAAATCGAAAATTAAAATGTTTTCTTTATTCAATTTGTCCATGAAAATTTAATCTCTAATTGAAAATCTAAGTAAATATCTATTATTAATTTCAATAACAGATGGAAAATATTCAACTAAATGTCTTATTGTATGAATAGCAAAAATATGTACAGTATATGGAGAACTTGTTCAAACACATGATTAAACATAGATGAAAATTTTCAAGATAACTGACCAGAATTTTAAATTGATGTAACACTACTGCTAAGGTTTTCGTTGGATAAGTTGAGGTGTGGGAGTGGGGTGTGGGTGTGGGTGGGTGTGGGTGTGGGTGAGTGTGTGGTGTGTGGGTGGGTGTGGTGTGTGGGTGGGTGTGGTGTGTGGGTGGGCGTGGTGTGGTGTGTGGGTGGGTGTGGTGTGGGTGTGGGTCGGTGTGGGGTGTGTTACCCACACCCACACCCCATACACCCACATCCGCACCCATACCCTTATTATATGTTTGGATGTTTTCTCATAAAACTTCCATCGATAATACTACATAGTAGTAGATATATAATTTTCTAACAAGCAATTGATAACTGATTACTTTAGCGGTGATCGAAACACGTGTCTTGCTAGCTTTTGATCGATTTTTATAATCATTCTATATCATACATACACACTCACACCCACACTCACTCCCACACCCACACTCTAGTATTCTCGTCAACTCTTTTAATTATAATACAGTACAGCATACTGAATAACGAAAATTTTGCTTTCTCGTATATAAAGTTGAAGGTGAATGGCCAGTCAATACCATATACAGAAGTTCTATATTCGATAGTCCCCTTATACAGAATCCGGTGGCGAAAAACCATGAATTTCGAGACTGGCTTTGATATGGTCCATATTCTTCTGAACTAGTACCATTTGTGGATCATCAACTGTCAACGGCTGGGAAAAGAGATAGTATGCGATCTGGAAATTTTTTAGTGCAGCACTGAAGCATTTGTTTCGAAGCTGGGGTAATGCCAAATTATTGAAAGATGTAGCAAGAAATGGACTATTGGTAGGTAATAATTTCACAAAGATATCACGCGCTTTCTGACAGTACTCTAATGCCTCTTGATATTGGTCAACCATTTCGTGTACCATCCCCATGCTACTATATGTTTTCGCTAGATCTTCGACCAAAACAGGGGACAAGGCGTTAGCATATATGTCTAATGCTTTTTGAAAGTTGGCTAATGCCATTTTCGTATTGTTAATGTAATAAAAACAAACTTCAATATTATTGTATGTACTGGCAAGATGGGGATGATAGAGTGGTAAGCATTTGAGGGTGTGGGTGTGGTTGGGTGTGGGTGTGGTTGGGTGTGGGTGTGGGTATGGAAGGAATGAAGAGAAGATTTACAGCCACATACCCACACCCACACCCACCCACACCCCACCCACACCCCCCCCCCCCCCACACTCACACCCACACCCTTAAATAGAAAACACTTGAAGAAATAATTTAAAAATATATTGTTTTTATATAGTGAAGGACTAAATAGAGTAGTCAGGAAGCAAGAGTAAAGGAGAAGCAAAAAATGAAGAAGTGTGTTAACTAATAAAAGAAACAAATACTAATACACAAAAATAAGAGAGTGCAGGAGAGAAAAACAAAAAACTAAGAAACAACGAAAGCGAACAGACCCACAGACCCCAAGAATAAATACAACAGGATACAGTGACGCCTAGAGTCGACACCAGGAGTCTATCAGAGAATGTCTCCACGATAATCGAATAAAGTTAATCATTGTTACATTTATCATTAGTAAGACGAGCTGCTAATTGCTCATAAATGCGCGCTTCGTCGTAATTACCATCGTTCATACATTGATCTTGTAGTTTAAGAAGTTGTGCAGCTATTTCCGAAGGATTTTTAGCGATCATGTCTATCTTAGGAATGCTTTTCCACATAGCCTCTGACTTACCATAGGTATCGCCAATATAAGGTAACACAGAAGCAATATTCTCTATCTGATTTAATTCGTTAAACAGGTCCTCGTTAATATTCAAAAGTTTCAAGATATCTGGATATTTATGTAGTTGTTTATTACGAGGAAGAAAGAAACCAATCTTATTTAGACTGCGCGCAGATTGTTTGAAATCTCCTATTGACAAACGATCACGAGTGTAGTCATAGTGATCTCGAATAAGAATCTCGTGGTCTTCATTGAGATCTTCAGCTCGAGTCATTGCTGCATAGATTTCGGCAATCTCTTTTGCATTCGGCTTGTCAAGCAGTTGTTCGAGATGTGCTTGAGCTTTTTCATATCGATTTCTATCACATAATAATGTGATGAATATGTGTATGTTTCGGAAAGGACTTGCCATGGCGTTACGTAGTTTGAGCTGATAATATTCAATATATTTTCTAGCGAGAGAACTAAATTGAGTTGAACCTATCATGTTGATGATCCATCTTCCTTCCAAATCTTGCTTAATGTCTCTTATTTGAAATACTGCATCAATATCGATCAGTACTTCTTCTTCATCAGGAATTATACTGTATTTAGCAACATCGGCAAAGATAAGCTTATCTTCTAATATAAAAGGATTACATTCAATTTCGAAAATAATGGCGGCATTGCCAGGAACATCCTTTGCAGGTCCAGAGAATTGTTCAGCTACGCATTTCAAGCGACTAGTAGAAAGAAAACCATTCATCGAAATGAGATCGCCTTTCATCTGCTTCAACTTTTCGCATTCTACCAACGGGATATTTAATCCTCGGTAAAGAATAATTGCTTCTTCTTCTTCTTCTTCTTCTTTGAAATTATGATGTTCACAAGCAAGGCACTTTTTTAGATCGATTATGAAGAAAAGAAATGGTATTATCAGCTCTAGATTCTCGGTACGAAGTGCTTTGTTCAATAGTCTATATGGAAAATGTAAGGATGTGTACCAGTGAATAGCATCCTCAGATCGATAGGCCATCGAGAACTCATTGATTTTTTTTAGCATATGTAAATTGCCACGATAATAGGTCTTAGCGATGTGAACAAGTTTATGTTTTCCATAATAATTAGTGTAATTCTCGCAATCACCATAATGTAGTATTCGAGCAGCTTCAATGAACATATGTAACCAGAGAAAGTCCCCAAATTCATATAAAACATCTTTCTTTGATTTGCATATACTGTAGGAGCGTCGTATTTGCAAATGCTCCTCGAGTTCCATTAAGATCCGTACTATTTTCAATTTAAGCAGTTGAAAGCTGTTAAAAATACCAACAATCTTCGAATAATCGGCTTGCTTGAACGGTACATCCTCGCTCTCACTATTGTTGGAGTAAATGAAAATAGAATCGACACAACGATGGTCATGAACATTGGAAAGTAGATCTTGTGCCTTTTCGACTATCGTGATGATCACGATTTTACTTGTTTCAATCGATTTTATCACACTTGTACACTGTTTCAGATCAATGTAATATCGAATAAAATCGTTTAGTTCACAAAATACATTTGACATACGATCTATATTTTCAATATTTGGATCGAACCATATGAGAAAGAACGTTTCTTCAATGGTCGGTTCTGATCGTGTGTACTGAAAATCGTCGAGACATTTAAGTACTTTACGTATGCCAACAGGAGAGATTGGTGTTGTTGAAAATAGTTTCTCGTTCATCGAAATTGATTCTGAAGATCTGTAAACGAAATTTAAAAAAATGTTATAACTTATTTTTTAAATGCGTTTATTTTAAAATCAGTCCTAAATTGTACACGAAGCTTCAAATCTAATGAAACTTTGAGGATGTGTAGAACGGTTCGACTCAAATATATTCTGAAAATTTCGGTTTTATACGACTTTGTTCTGTTGAGATATTGAAAAATAGAAAATAGAAAATGCAAAATCCCGACTCCATCACAAATGGACAAGTCGACATATACATAGAACAATTAGCCGGAATTATATTGTATTTTTACATTAGTTTCTAAATTGATTATTCAAATTATGGTTAGAAATGCGATTAATATAATGTCTTTTTTTTTGCGAATGAATATACTCACGCTATGAAGTTTGCCTCTTGATGTTGTATTAGATCCGTTCTCTGATTGAAATCCCTTTTAAATTGACTTCGTTGTTGAATAATTTCCATTTTGAGTTTCTCGTAGGCATATTCAAAATCAAATTTGGTGAAATCTATAAATATTCTATCAGTGAGAATTTTTTGAAACCATTCAACCGATGGACACAGAGGTCTGATAATCAATGGAATAATACAATATTGTTGTTCAGAAGTATATTCAGCTATCCATCGACAATGAGCGTTTTGAACATACGAGTTCGCAAGACATAGAAGAACGATCTAGAATAAATATGAATTTATGCTTGTGTATTAACATTCAATACATTTTACCTTGGGATATTCAATGGCATTAGCGTTAACTTTAATTGTTGAATCGTGAAGGAAATCTAGACCAATTTTTACTCGAAAGTTGTCATAAACAAGTTGATCTCTAATCTGATAACATATATCTCTATCGACAGGAGAATAACTAATAAAAATGTCATATTTATTGACAATTGCTAAATTGTCAATTATGTTTGTATTTTTGTCTTGTTTTTCTGTCGTATTGATCGACTTTTGATATGTTTCTAGTTTTTGAACAATAGCTTGAGCTGCTAGTTGTAAATCGTGTTCAGATGATGACATAGTTAGTTTTTTAACATGAAATAAAAATAAATGATTTTGTTGTAGAAGTGTAAATGCTTTTTTATCCGAAGTTAAATCGAGAAGAATCTCTAAAACACGTTGACGTGTTACAACTGAATGAAATTTTGTTTGTTTTCTGTTTGTAATACAATTAATCAGAAACGGAAGACCATTTTGTTTGATTAATTCCATCTTGACTTGCTTATTTTGAATAAGATCTAAATATTCAATGAAATTAATATATCTTCAGTTGAATTATACATTACTTTTCAAGCAAAGTAAATTGTTTTCTAACTGCAATTTGTAAACTGGCTTAACTGATCTCTGTCGCAAATCTGTTAGTAACACTGTAATTATTTTTGTTGGATTAGTTAATCGGTTTTGAATATCGTCAACATCCATCACCGCTGCTAAAAGACGACAAGATTCTACTTGAGTTTGCTCGTTTTTGCTATGATTTAATAGTTCTAAAAGTGTAGGAATCATATTGATTTCTTTAATTTTAGGTAAAAGTTCTATCTTAAATGTTGCAGAAAACATTTGTACAATCGCCCATTGTACTAAAGCATCTGTGTGTGATTCATTTTGTGAACTTAATTCATAAATGATTGTCCACATTACATTGATAAGATTTTCACTGATGCTAGTAAATTTTTGACGAAGTTCATGAGAGACTGATACACATTGCAATAAAGCCATAAGGCAAATAACTGGTTCAATAATTATTTGCGAACAATTTTTCATTGTTTTCGTGAATTGATTAAGTATATTGAAATAGATTTGAGACATTTTTTCAAAAATAAATGTCAATACTTGTATATAACAATCATTTTTCCTGGAGTAGCAAATATAGTTCGGACATTTGATAAGATAAAACTGTTCTATATCATCAAGTTCGCTTTGTTCCAATGGTACAAGACGAGTAAGTAAATGATTAAATACGTCAATGTATGCTGAGGAACATACATATGTAACGACCTCATCAAGATAGGGTCCTGATTCATCTTCCCCAAAATCGTAACGTTTTTTGTGTCTACCTATTATGTTGATTAAAAATTGGTTAATGATATCAGAAAATTCTTCATTTATACGATGATGAACGAGTACATCAAGTAACGGTTGATGAAAAAATACAACACATAGTTTTGACAATTTATCATTAGTTATGCAGCTTTGAGCGTATGCGTCAAGTGACGATTCCAAGGAAATCACATTAGCTACTGCTGTCAAGAAATCATCTTTTATTTTCAAATATAATTTTGTAAATAAGGTTATTATATTTATAGCAACAATATTTTTCTCTTGTAATAATTTAATAATTAAATCCCGAAGCATAAAAATTAATGGATGATCAAGAATTGTTATTTTACTTAATTGATCGATATTGATATTCAATAGATTAGTAACTATAGTATCGACAGATTGAATATAAATATCGTCATTCTGATTCATCAGTGTATTGAGTTCATCAACAGCATTGTCAAAATAAATTTTTAATTTATCTGTTGTAATATTCTCATCTTGATCACCAATAACCATAGAAAGCGGCAATAATGATTCTGCCATTGCTAGACGATAAATGTTGAAAAATCAAATTTTCTACAATATATTTATCAGTTAAAATATATGTTGATCAGCGTAATTATCCATACCTTTTTGTCACGTAAATAACATAACGAAAACTACGACAAGAAACTTAACTGAGAGAATGATCAAGGTGTCTTATTCTATACAAGTATAGAAATAATATTTTCTAGAGATAAAGTTTTACATCCATATGATCAAATTAATAAATCCTTTATTAAGTTAAAGATTACAAAACGAAGAATTCGATTTTTGGAACTTTATTGTCTCGAGAATGAAATATTTTTGTAGATCCAAAAATTTCAGAGTATTCTACGTATAGATAGAGCTATCTAACTGCAAAATCTTAGGTCGAAATAACGTCATTAAATTTGTTGATATAAATCATTCTGTACGCAAAAACTCCCATAGAACATCTGTAACTTCGGACAGAAAGCCTAAGAGTACTAATTTTTTTGGAATTTTTTATATATCACTGTATTCTAAATTACACACAGACTCCAAACTCAAGAGAGATCGGACAGTTGAAGACGTTCACTCGTAAGAAAAACAAAACGTAAACAAAGCAAGTATGTTTTATAAGGAGAAAAAATATTTATGCAGTGAGCAATTAGAGTTTGAAATTAAACGAACAATTTCACTAAAAAATTAAATACTTAGATCAATTCAAAAGTTCTGTCGATGATACTTTATTTCCGAATAGTAAGCTCAAAGAAGTTTTCTTTTTTTATGAAATGATAGAGAAAACGAAGTTCTATTTTTCTATGCTATTTGATCATATTTCAACTAATATCATAATAATAAAATTTCGATAAGAACTATTTTTGTGTAAAACTTAAGCCTGTTTAAAATAATAATGGGCGTGAACATTTTTGCAATAACTCAAGAATGGAAACAGCTAGAGAGCTTCAGTTTTCATCATTCGAAAGAGAAGATGAAGATGCATCGAATCATATATTACAGAGTTTTTTGACATGACTTGTTTAAGGTTTTCAATAGACTTCTTTGAAAGCAAATATACCCCGTGAGGTGTTTACAATGAATTCTTAATTGTTAGATGTGTATTCAAACCGCTAATGGGAGATCTAAAAACCTGCACAAGATTCAGATAGTTAGAATTGATCATTCGGGAGTTATAGGTATACTAGTCGAAGCTAAAAGTGATTTTTATGGCAATTCCTGTAAAAATCAAGTGTTTTTTGCTGGTTCCTTTTTGATAAGAGACCATTTTCCCACACTTAGAAAATTGACTAAACAAACTTCAGACAACATGCTAGGAATAAATATAATATACGATTCGATGCATCTTCATCTTCTCTTTCGAATGATGAAAACTGCAGCTCTCTAGCTGTTTCCATTCTTGAGTTATTGCAAAAATGTTCACGCCCATTATTATTTTAAACAGGCTCAAATTTTACACAAAAATAGTTCTTATCGAAATTTTATTATTATGATATTAGCTGAAATATGATCAAATAGCATAGAAAAATAGAACTTCGTTTTCTCTATCATCTCATAAAAAAAAGAAAACTTCTTTGAGCTTAATATTCGGAAATAAAGTATCATCGACAGAACTTTTGGATTGACCTAAGTAGTATTAGTAATTTGTGATGAAACCTTAAGAAATTTCTATTTCGGCTCGATTCGGTTTAAATTTTGAAAAACTTCAACTATGTCCATCTTTGCTAGTGACATGTAAGTGTCGCCTTACCATATATTTTTGCGACAGCAATGGACGATTGAACCAATCGATAGGGAAATTGTTCCCGTTTAAGGGGCCCCCTTTCCCGAGCCAAAAAGTTTTTTTTCGATTTTTTTTTTTCATATAGAGGTGTATCAAGGTCTCCTCTATGTGTGCTATAAAAATCAGAATCATCCAAGGTCGGGAAGTCTGTGAAAAACCAGGTTTTTTGGAGACACGTGCAACAAAAAAAATTTTTTTTTTAACATAAAGTTATATTATGATATGGTATACCTATACTTACGTATAAGCGGAAAAAAAAATTTTTCTACAAGTTTTTTTTATTTTGCATTTTTCTCGAAACTAGTTTTTTGGGTATCAAAAACCAGTTTTCCCCTTTTTTCTCCGCCATTTCAAGTCCGATCGGGCTGAAAATTTTTTTGGTGAGACTTCAAGCGATTTGGGTTGGCCGTTTTTTTTTTGGATACCTTCTACCAATCAAGTTTGGCAGGCTTCGCAAAATTTTCAGGATCCAAAAAACCTAAAGATTTTGCGAAGTGCTCAGTATTTTGGTTCTCCAACCTGAAGTATTTCGAATTTTTGAAAAAAAAAACGGCCACCCCGATAGGGTCCGTCTACCCACAGTAAAAATTTCAGCTCAAACGGATGAAATCTGTGGATTTGCGGGGAGGAAAACTTTTTGCAAGTTTTTGACCTTGCGGTCTCTGGAAGTCCATGAAGATGACGTCTGGCAAATTTGTGTCTATGACAACTTTTGCTCTACTACTCGAGGTCTATCTACCCTGAAAGTTTCAGGAATTTTCGTTCGGCCGTTTCTTAGAAACACCGGAAAGGGGGGGACCCCTTAAGGAGAAATGGTTCACCTCACAAAAAGTCACACGTTTTAAGGAGGGATGGAAAAAAAGAATATAGCCATATATCTATCACGTTTAATTTACCATAAAGAAATTCTTCAGCGAGAAGAAACAGAACGAAGGAATACGAGTATATATCTACCAATCCATACACCACCTCCTATTTTTCATTTTTCATTTCTGCTTATCAACGCTAAAATGGATGAAGGATTTCTGCTAGAAATATTTATATTGCAGCTGCAAAAAAATCTATTTCTACTAGAATTTCTCCTTATAGCGAAAAAATAATTTTATTCATTTTTGTTAATACTATAAGAATATTTTGATCAATTTCTCCTTATATGTCATACATTTCTCATTGGAAGAGTAGAAATGGATTATAGGTTTCTGCTGTAAAAAAGTTCATTTCTCCTAGAATTTCTCCTTATAGTGAAAAAATAATTTTATATATTTCTGCTGATATTGTAAGACTAATCTGATCGACTCCTCCTTATATCTTATACATTTCTCCTTGTGAGGGTGGATATAGTTGATACGTTTCTGATCGAAAACATTTATTGATGGATTGTGTTTCGCTATGAAAAACGTTTCTGCTTGACTTTGTGTGGAGTAAAGGATTTCTGCTGTAAGGGGAACAATTTCTTGATTTTGAAGGATATCGCCCAGCCCTCTTTCTTATCCAAACGCAAACTGCAGAATACGAGAAAACAGATGAAACGATATATTTTTTTAATTACTTGTATGTGCACATGGATGAATGTATGTTAAATGTATGTGGGCATGCATGCATCGCATGTAAACACGACGTGCTGCGACGCATATGTTGCCACAAGAAAAAAACATTGGAGTATTTATGAGTGCTCCAGATTGAATGGCCTTGATTTTCAATCATTTATTACATTGTATTGAACAAAACTTAAACATATTAGCAGATGCATCGTGAAAAGCTCTACTATCTACAGAGTAAAGCTGATTTTATTGGTGCGTTTTTTGTCTTCAAAATAACCAAAAATCTGTGCAACTAATTTTCAACGCTGCGAAACGTCGTCACACAGAATTCGGCATTTTTTTTAGAAAACAAAGAGTAGATAATTAAAATAAGTGTCACTCTGTAGATTGTAGAGCTTTTCACATTGCATCTCTTGGTGTGCTTACTTTTTTTTAATACAACGTATTAAATGATTGAAAATCAAGGCCATTCAACCTGGAGCACTCCTTAATATTCAAATTTTTTTTGTTGTGGCAACGCATACGTCGGCGACGTGTCATGTTTACATGCAATGCCTGCATGCCTACACACATCTAACATATGTCAAAATATAAGAAATTGTATGTCGTTCGCTTATTTTCTCTTCTTTCCTTAGTTCTGTATTTCTATTGTTTATGGATGACATGCATATTCTTTTTTCTCCCTTCCTTTCCTGCGCTCAGAATATAATACATATCGTTCTCTCTTGTATGGTCTAGTTCAGATGCGTTGGTACTTTCCTCCTCATTCATATTTTTTTTTCTAATGCATTCACATTTATATATATATATATAATGGCGATTTTTTGGAATAAAGAGATAGATTAGGCAAAGAACATTTAACTACATACATGCATCCATGCACGAATACAAGTAATTTAAAAAAAATATATCGTTTCATCTGTGTGTTGTTACATATTGCAATTTGCATTGGAATAATAAAAGGTACAATTTTTTCTTCAACTAGTAAATCGTTCTCATTTTATACCATGTTCCCTGTACTAAATTAGTAATTTCGACTATTATTTTAAATTTTGAGAAATTTTCTCGTATATCGCGGGCATGGGCGTGACATGGCACTGAAGTGACCCACACTCTCAAAGTAGCCTAAATCTTTCAACTGTGCACGTGATCACATGCACCACTTTATTCAGAATTTAATTGTGCATCCGATAGTACGAGAATCAGCATTTTATAGTGTGAGTCTGACTTGTGATAAGATATTTTTTCATAATTTACCTAAAAGTATTTGAGACGCTTGTTCGCAACGTTCTTCTTCTGAACAAAACATTCATAACCATATTAAAACTGATAGCATGTAGAGAAAATGACTCTCTATCTTTTAATGTATAATACTTGACCTTGAACATCAACCTTTATGAGTCAGCACTCAAACAAATCGTTTTTTATGCATAGAAAATAGGAACTCCTAATCTAACAATGCGATACACTTCAATCTCATAAACTTCATGCCACTTTGAAAGATTTCTCAGAGAAACAAACTCGGCATTTTTATAGAGAACTAAATTCTCTATGCAGCAAGATCACAACTGAAAACTGAACAAATGTTCGTTTTCTCAAATGTCTAAAATAAAAGTACGACATGTACTATGGGGCACCCATTATTTCTCTAAAAACATCCGCGAATACTTCTAAGTTTTCAAAAGTTTCTCGAAAGGTCGCTCGCGGAAGCAGGTAGGTTCTGCACCTCACACTGTAGGGTGTGCAGGTGTGAATCGGTATTGCCAGATCTTCCGAATTCTACTGAAAACTTTGGAGAACTTGAAATTTTTTTCTGGTTTGTGGATTTCTTCGGATTTCAAATACTTTCTATTTCAATCCTATTTCTCTTGTCTGCTAATATTTGTAAAAGGGTGTGGGCGTGGGTGTGAGTGGGCTGTGGGTGTGGGTGTGGGTGTGGGCGGGTGTGGGTGTGGGTAGTGTGGGGTGTGGGCATGGGCGGCGGAGCCATTAGGCTTGGGGAGGCTCGAGCCTCCCGTAGAAAAATATTGGGGAGGCTCAAATACTAAAAAATATTTTAAAGATATAGTCGCAAGTTTACGTCTTATTAGCGAGAACTCTTTGAACAAAGGTTGTCTCGTGTTTTTTGAATGGTACACTCAGTCAAATGTTAGATAGTCCATGTGTATCACTATATTTGCAGTGCCTCTATGACTTTCGGATCACAAACATTTATCTCTGTTTCAGTTTTACAAAAAATTTTGAAGTAATAGATGAACATGAATCTTTTGGCAGACAAAATCTTTACTAAATAGTGTCGAAGCATGTCTTTCTTAAAAGAACAAGAAAAAAAATGAGTATAATCACTAATATTCACGTAGTTAGTGTGAATATGTTATCAACTAATTTAACTGACCGCATTAAAACTCCCTGTTTATAACACATAACGAACATACAGAATGTGCCAAAGGTTACTATTGAAAATACATCTAACTCCTGTAGCAATGAAGCTTAACACAAAACTTATTTTATTTGAAAGAAGAGGCTAACATGCCTGTATTATTAAAGGCCCGTTTCAGCAACAATGTAGCAAAGTGGAATTTGCGAATACAAAAAAGAATAAAATGAGATTTTTCTCTATGTGGAAAACGATATGAAGCGTTTTTTCGATATCTATTAGAATTTCAATCGTTATTAGGAACTTCAAATCATTCAAATCTATCCTCATGACTTTACAAATACTCATCCTGATATATTCTCGAGAAAAAGGAGCAAGAAAGCCAATATTAATGAGAACATGTGTTGTTAAATAGTCCAACGCACACTTTTCACGGCCTTAATGGTTTTCGAAGAGGCACGAACGACCTACCGAGGAAAAGTGCATCAGTTATTGGTTCTTTTCAAAATGTGTCAGAAAATGGCTGTCAAGCAATACTGAAAGATCTAAATGATCTGAAGTGCACAATGATGAACAAAGTTCTAGTAGATATAGAAAGTAACACTATTGTTTTTGACATAGAAAAAGCCTAATGTTTTTCTTTTTGTAGCTACAAATCCTGCTTTTGCTACGTTGTTGATTAACTTGATCTTTAAGAACAAAGTGTTCCTAGGCTCCCATTTGAAATATAAAATATTAGATTCAGCTTGAATAATAGTGCATTGAAATGCATTTAATAAGTCACAATGACTTTTGGCACATTTTATTCGCTGATCACTTTTAGTCATATCGATATCCTTCATATGAAGAAAATTTAGTTTACGTGGAATAGAAGAATAGCTGCAATGGTTTGTTCAAAAAAAACAGCATGAAATCATTTTCGGTCGTGAGAAGTGCTTTTAGTTCTGCCTTGCTATATTCACATTAGATTAGGTGTAAGATTTTTATGTACATGCTAATTAACCAATAGAAAAGTTAACGTTGCCGTAAAATTTTTCACTATGGTTCAAGTTTTGGCATGAATAAATCCAAAAATGCGTTTAAAATATAGCGAACATTATAAAAAGTAGAAAATAGTTCCTTTTTTGTTGCATCTCTCATCATTGCCTAGGAAAAAATTTTGAGCCTCCCCTAAGTTAAAATCGTTCCGCCGCCCATGGATGTGGGTGTGTGTGGGTGTGGGTGTGTGGGTGTGGGTGTAGGTGTGGGTGTGGGTGTGGGTGTGGGTATGGGTGTGGGATGAGTGTGGTGTGGGAGTGGGTGTGTGGGTGTGAGTGTGGGTGTGGGTGTGGGAATGGGTGTGGGTGTGCGTGTTATGGATTTGAGTGGAAATAACCACACCCACACCCATACCCACACCCACACACCCACCCACACTCCACACACACCCACACCCCACACCCTACCCTGGTCAATAACGACATCTTAGAAGTTTCGACATATCACATGATGGACGTTTTTTCTTTCGATTTTTTTTCATTCGACGTTTTTTCCTTTGACGTATATTTTTCGACGTTTTTTCCTTCGACATTTTTTCTTTCGGCGTTTTCATAGTAAATCTCAAAGCCTATCTACGTACCCAAATAATAGCTTGGTATCATAGATTGTTTCTTTTTCTCGTTCGTTATTCAGGGACTCATTCAAAATCAAGGTCAGATATAACTTTATACTTTGAAAAACATTCAAACTCACACTTCTTTTATCTTCAGTTATAATAGATAAGATAAATCAAACCTTCAATGTCTTCATTACAAACTTGGCAAGAAAAAGCTGCTCAAAAACGAGCATCCATTTACAATTCAATTCCACAAAAATGGAGATTATCTGAAACTATTCTAAAAAATCCTCCAAAAAACTCAACATTAGTTCCATATCAATGTGGAATACTTTCAGAACTTGATCTTGAAATTACAGAAATTAATGATATGGAAGAACTTGCTCATCGAATAGCAAATGGAAAATATACTGCAGTACAAGTAACTGAAGCTTATTGTAAACGAGCATCTATTGCTCATCAACTTGTCAATTGTTTAGCAGAAATATTTTTTACACAAGCTCTTGAACGAGCTCATTATCTTGATAATTATTTTCAATCAACAGGTGGTAAAACAATAGGTCCATTTCATGGTATACCAATTAGTTTTAAAGATCAATTTAATGTCAAAGGTATTGAAACAGCAATGGGTTATGTTGGATATTTAGGAGACATTTCTGAATATAATTCAATTCTTGTTGATATTGTTCTTTCTCTTGGAGCTGTTTTATATGTCAAAACAACTCTTCCACAAACTATTATGCTGGGTAAAGTTCGAAGTAATCTTTTAGGTATAACTATAAATCCATTAAATCGAGACTTTAGTTGTGGTGGAAGCTCTGGTGGAGAAGGAAGTTTGATTGCTATGAAAGGAAGTATTTGTGGATTAGGAACTGATATTGGTGGAAGTATTCGATTTCCAACATCTCTAAATGGAATATATGGATTAAAACCATCTGATGGAAGAATTCCTTATGGTCGAGCTAAAAATTCATTTATTGGACAAGAATCTGTTTCAAGTGTTGTTGGACCAATGACAAGATCTCTTTCAAATATTTATTTATTTCTTAAATCAGTACTTGATACAAAACCATGGTTAATCGATCCGAAAGTTCATAATATTCCATGGAGAGAAGATTTATTTCAAGAAGGACAATCGAATAAACTATGTTTTGGAGTTATTCAATTTGATCAACTAGTTCATATATCTCCACCTGTTCAAAGAGCTATTAATATGACAATTAATGCTCTTGAAAAAGCTGGTCATCAAGTTATTGAATGGGATACAACAGATCATCCAAAGGTAACTTGTTACAATAATATTATTTATCATACATATATATAGGGTGTCCAGAAAGTCACTAGAGTTAGAGAAATTTGAATATCTTCACTATGGCTCGACTAAACGAGCTCATTTTTTTTACCAAAGATAGAGGCATGTTCACACTCCACATCCATACGGATAAGGTTAGTGAGAACCTTTGTCAAGTATCACTATCGACTTCAACAAGAAAATTTTACTTTTTCAGAGATGAGAAAAAACAATGTACAGGATAGTGCAAAAGTCACTTTATCGCAAAGAAAATTGAATAATTCCATTACAGCTCGACCAAACCATCTGATTTTTTTAACCAAAGGTGAAAGCATGTTCACACTCCAAATCCATACGGACAAGGTTGATAGGAAGCTTTGTTAAGTATATTGCTTTTTTTCTGATGTGTGAAAAAGTAAAATTTTCTTGTTAAGATCGATAGTGATACTTAACAAAGGTTCTCACTAACTTTGTCCATATGGATTTGGAGTGTGAACATACCTCTATCTTTGGTAAAAAAATGAGCTCATTTGGTCAAGTCATAATGGAGATATTTAAATTTTTCTAACTCTAGTGACTTTCTGGACACCCTATAGATTTCTTATATAGGGAATTGAAATGTTAATAAAATTCTTTCAAGCTGATGGTGGAAAAGATATTCAAAGAGATCTCGATCTAAGTGGAGAACCACTTATTCCTGGTGCTTCTGTTGGATCACCAGAAACAGAACTAAGTGTTTATGAAAATTGGCAACTGAATCAAGCACGTACAGATTATGCAATTAAATATCTTGAAAAATGGAATCAAACTAAAGAAAAAACTTCAACAGGTCGACCTATTGATGGAATTATTTCACCTGTTTGTGCATTACCAGCTTATTCTCATGAATTTCGACTTAGCATTGGATATACTGGTATTGCTAATTTACTTCAATTGAGTTCTGTTATTCTTCCTGTTACTCGAGTTGATTTAGAATTAGATCAAGTAACTGATGAGTATCATAATATGAAAATAGCAAGTGAATTAGATCAAATAGCTCGGGAAACTTACAAAGGTCCGGAAGTTTTTGAAAATTGTATTGTAGGTTTACAAGTTATTTGTCGAAGATTAGAAGAAGAAAAAGCAATTGGTATGGCTATGGTTTTAGAGAAAGCACTTAAATTATATCAATAAATTTTAAAAAAAATTATTTATGATTAAAATGTTTCAAATAGACTTATAATGAACATTGACAGTATAACGACTCTAAATATTTTGGACGTTGGCATATAAGTAAAATATAAATCTAAATATTGTATGAATGCTTTAGCTTGTGTTCGTATATCTATTTCTTGATTATTAACCATTGAATAAATATTAGAGATGATCAATATACAATTACGAAAATGTCACAAATCCAAAAATTATTTTTATAATTGGCTACTGTAGAAATATCAGTCATGTTGCTACGATCGATTGATTAACCTTGATGGTGCCTTGGGTGCGGATGTGAGTGTGGGTGGATGTGGGGTGTGGATGGCTGTGGGTGCGGCTTGGATCGATAATGATTACCTATGCACATTCATACCCCTTTTATTTTCGAAATCGTATTAAATCTTTTTTTCATTCCATTCAATCTCATTTCTCAAAATTCATGTATAGTTTCATTCCACAATCAATTTTTTTATTTTAATCCCGAAATAAGTGAAACTCAATTTCTTTTATATAAAAAACTATAATAGTAAATCATCAGATCTCTTTTTTTGACAAATATTATATCGAAAAAGAGTAAGACAACAAAGTCACAGATCAGGTCCGACCCTTAACATACTGAAATTATTTTAATAGTTACTTGAAAATACTGTGCAGTAGTAACCGATTGAGTATCTGATCAGTGCTTTCAATCACTCATTTGCTGAATATTTTGTAGCAGGGTACCTGCCGAAGAACCATATTAATACCTGAAAGTACTTTAGTACTCAAGAGTTCCTATGACATACTATTGGGTTGGTGTAAGAGTCTTGGTCGATTGTTTTTTATTTTCAAGTTTTTAATATTCTATTAGAACAAAATACTGTCAATCAACAACATATGGGGTGTGTGTGGTGTGAGTGTGGTTGTGTCGAGGAGAAACAACGGACTTCAAAAGACTTCAAGAGACTTCAAGAGACTTCATTGAACTTCACCGAACTTCGTGGGATTTCATGAGACTTCAAGAGACTCCATGAGTCTTCACGTGGGTGTGGGTGTTGTTCTTCATTGTATTCACACCCACATTCCACATTCATACACTCACACCCACACCACACAGGTATCGTTATGGTAAAAAACAGTGAAATTTGATGCAAAAGGAAATTTAGATAAAGCATATTGATATTCTGAAATAAAACACAATACTGAGCATTTTATGACACATTTTGATTTATGCAGATAACAAAAAGATGAAAAACATGTTATATTGAGAAAAGACAATCAACCATTCAAAGTCCAACTTTATGTTGTTTAAAACTTCTTGAATATACGCATAATTATGACTGAAGTAGTTTTAACTAACGTGTTGAATATTTACGTTGTATTTTTGGTAATGGTTTATATACAGGAGTTTGATATTTTGGATATGTCATATTTGATTTGATAGAAAGAAAATTCGTTCTTAATTCACCTGATGATAATTCATCCTGTAGTTTACATATATCCCACTGCGTTGTCTCCAAATATAGGAACTGTTTTTGTGCGGTAGTGTATAGTTCGTCAAGTACAAGTTGATATATTTCTTCTTCTACGCTTGAACCTTGATTTAAGTTATCGAGTAGAAGCTCATAAGATAAAGCTTCTTCTTGTAACTTTTCAAAAGTAGATCTACCAGGTAGATAGAAATGAAATACATTAAATGCATCTCCATCGAATACTTCCTGACTTTGGTCATATTCTCTTATTTTTGTCATTAATTCACTACGTCTCTTTTCTAGTTTGGGTTTTAATACGCATATTCCTTCTAATATAAGTTCACGTATTTCTTTTTGTACCAATTCATGCTTCCATAAGGTACTTATTTCTTTTGGTAAGGGTTTATAGTTTAGACCGCGAGTTAGAATTAAAAACAGTCTTTCATAAGTATATTCGTTCACGAAGTTATGTAAATCTTTGTCTTTGTATATTTCTATTAGTGTGCGTTGACATATTTCGCTTTGCAAACGCTCATATATTATCTCGAGTACACGTCGATATACTGGTTCAATAAGTTGTCTAGGTTTAGGTGGCCCCCAAATCCAATATCTGTAATAACTTGTATATGTTCGATTAATAATTAACTGCTGTCGATCTTTTGATGTTGGCATTGCGAACCGCGGCCACTTTTCAGACGATATATTGCATAATTGCTCCAAAGAACTTAGATTATCTTCATCAGGATCAATGCCATCCTCATTTGTAATTAAATATTTCTTTTCATCTTTTTGTGTTCTTTGTATAAGTTTCTTGAGAGATTTTAATAGCAACGGTTCGAAAAGAGAAAAACAATGCTCAGCAATTTTATATACATGATGACGAAGACGAGATCCAAAGAATTTGTAAGCGCTTAAAATAAACATCACAAACCAATATATTTGATCAACTACTTTGCAATCAGTGAAATCATATTCCTCTTTAGCCATTGCAATCGCAAATCGAACAGCCATATTTTGAATAACAGATGGCTTAATTATATGTAAGTAATCTTCTAACAAAGGACTAAATACTACAGTTGAAAAGAAAATTTGATCGACCTCCCGTAATGCAGGATCTGGTTGTGGTCCAATACCAAGAAAATCGAGAAGAGCAATAATAGGTGTAACATCATTTTGTTTAGGTAGATGAGTGAATAGTTGCCGGACTGAATGGAATGAAAGTGACTCAAGAATGAAAGAAAAATGTTTATATTCTATGTGTGAATCGAGTTTATAATGACCATGCTCGTTGCGCGCCGATTCAAAACAATCCCCAGAAGAAACAAGAGCAGCTAAATATGGAATCTTTTGGATTTTATCTTCATCAAGAATCACAGTTTGACCTGAAGCAAAACAAAATGTTTTTGCTTTTGTTATTGACTCACCAATATTGTCGACCATAGTGTAAATATTTCAACACAGCAAAATATGTGCTTTAATTATTTTTATATGTTTATGAATATTCAAGAATTATTAAGAAAATATCAACGAGACCACATAAATTTCTTGTTCGAATGCAGTTAAGAAATTTTCACATACACATAGTTATAGAAAAGCTTTTTCTTTTTCTTTTTCTTTCCACTCAATATCTATGTTGGAAGTTTTTGAGAACAAACAAATATGTCTCATTTATGGTTTTTTTTCCACCCAACACGTTTTTTCTTTCTCTTCAGCTTCCTTTTTAAACACATTGACAACGCTAATAGTATCTCATTGTAAATACGATTTCATATAAATGATTATGAATTTAAATTAGAAAAAATAATATTCTTTACAGTCATTTTGAAAACATAATGTTGGATTTGACGATAATGAATTTTCCTCAAGTTCTACAATTCAAACATTTTATTATGTTTTAATATGGAAAAATGAAGCGAATAAAGAACTCTATATAGATTCACTAAGATAAGTTTTATATCTTACTTCTTTCGTTTAGTAATAAATGCTATTCTTTGCCAAATTTGAAGCATGTAGAAACATGTCACGAGAAAAAATATACTATGTCTTTCGAATAAAAATATCGCAAACAATTGAATTTGTTTAAAATTAATTAATATCTGAAGATTTTGATCTAGATTCACCATTCTATAATGACAATAAATTACTCATGGTTATTATTTTATTGATAACAAGCTATATATCTATGTTCAAAGTAAACAATTTTTAATTGGACTGTTCGATTAATCTGCCAATTAAAACTGTCTTGAGGTCAAGGTAAACTTTAGGTACTTTTGTTAGATGTTCAAGGTCATGTATAATTGAATTAAGCGAATATAAATCCCTTAATTTTTGTATTCTAAGCATACTTTGCACCAAAACTATCGTCATACTAATGTTTCGATCGTTATAAGCCTTTGAAAACCTGTTTTAGACATTATGATTATCGAAATGATTAGCATTCGTCGACTACTATTAATCTATCCATAAACTCCTGTCGTTATATTGTTGGTGAAAACGATTCGTATTACAAGCACTATTCCTATATTTGCTATAGAGAAGGCATTTTTTCTACAAATACTTACGATTTAGTAGTGATTGTAATGAAAATTTACGATCAAAAATTAAACCAGAGCATTAAAATGGAATTATCTTATTTCATCGTTTTCGCTCACTTTATATTGCTTTCACAAAAAATAAATTTACTGAACATCTTTTATAGATGCCATCCAAATGTACGATTGGTCTTGAATTATGAATAATCTTTGACATTTTGAATACAAATTTTGATCTGTACAAAAATCAAAACCTGCACTATTTACAATCTTCACTATCATATCTCAGCTACTCAAACTTCACCGAAGACTTTGAAAGTTTTAGAATATTGTAGAACAATCTAATCTTTGCGATTAAAATCGTTCAATGCCTTTGATCCCGGTTGTTAGAGTCTGTATAATCAGAGAGGACTGGTAGAGCCACAAAACTTCTTAAAATTTACACTCACTATTTTAAAAATACAGGTGAGTTCCATAAAGAAAGAAAAAAACAACATTTAAGACGACTCTCTTGAATATTATTGTTTTAACTGATCAGAAGCTATCTTTTTGTGTGATACAATCGGAAAGTACATATCTTCATACCAGAAAATGCAAACCTCTCAATTAAAATCGTGTTTTTGTTGCATCCGTTATAACACATACCAAGAAATAAATTCCATTCGATTACGAACGTGTTCTAAAACTGTACGAACGCGTTGTTTTTTAAATATTTTAACGTATCCGTGACATATAAGTTTTTCAACTAGAGGAACGCATTGCTCTCGGTTTGAAATGAGTTCAGTATTAACGTGTTCTTGATGATAAAAACGCGTTGCTTATTCGCGAGCACGCATTGGAACGCTTCAATTTTTTTTACAACATGTTCTCAATCCTTTTTTCCATGGGTAATAACCAACGGCCTATTGAATAGCAAATACCAATTGTCTTCTATATGAATAGAGCGAGTAACCTTCCATCATTTTCTACTACTTCCAGAGTCTTATTTTCAAGCAAGTGGGTGCCCTTATGTTCTCCAGAGAAGACAGTACTTACAGCTTGCTGATCAGTGATTAGTATGAAACGAATCTAGGACAATTAACTACGTTCCACATTGGAGTGATTTGTATTTTATAGACAAAGTAATTAGAAGTTGTTTTGAACAAGATTTCCCAAAAAGTTGTATTTTTCTATCTGTTATCTACTGACATTTAGTGTAATACTTCTTTGTTGTTATTTGTAACAAAACTAGATCTCTTTCTCGATAAGAAAAGACATTACAAAAATGCTAACCATGATCAAACACTTGATTTCAAAGTCGTTTCATGCTAATTGATGATTAGTTGACTAAAGTATTATTCTCTTAAGAAAACTGCACTATCCGTCTTAAGTCCCCGAATGTGTGAAACTTAAGGTCACTTAAACTAAATACTTTTCAAAGATACCGCTAGAAAAAACTATGATTAGAGGCATGAACTCAACCTTCTGTGATTGATATAAGATGAGTTTATATGTGGATATTCAAAGAATTTCTTGAGCTGCTTCTAATCATTACCACGAATTTCTATACCTAAAATATACCTTAGGATGCAGCATGAAAAGCTCTACAATCTACAAAGTAAAACTTAAAAAACAAAAAGTACATAATTAAAAGAAACTTTACTTGGTAGATTGTAGAAATTTTCACGCTGCATCTTTTAGCATATTTTGTTTTTTTTAATGAAGCGTATTAAGTGATGAAACAAGAAATACAAAGTGCAATTATTAATGATTGGTCACCTGGTAATTAATATTGAACATAAGCCAAAGGGGAAATAAGCGGATTTTATACTTGAAGTTAATTTGGGCTATTTGAGAGTACTTTTCTGTAATTTCAAAGTACTCTGTCGTACTTTAAAAGTACTTTGGCGTACTTGAAGTCCACTTTTCCCCTTGACATAAACTCATAAGGATAAATAGAGTGAAAACGAATCATATACTTTCAATATAAGGTACGGAAAAAAGCTCGTAGAACTTTTATAATCGATATATCTTTGTAGCCGCAAAAGTAATTGCAACAAGTAAACAGTAGCGCCCAAAACGAGGCAGATTTTTAGCTCCCCGTCTCACCTGACCTAGTAAAAAGTTTCCTCGCTTCGCTTTGCCCAGTCGCAACCTTAATTGTTTTTTCTTCACTACTTCGTTAAGTTTCTTCTTTTTGTCGCTTCATCATCTATTAACTGTTCAAAGAACTCTTTCTGTTGGATCATTTTCAATATAAACTGTTGCGATCGAAGTCACTTTCGACAGACATGAACCGCAAGTACGAAAACGTTTTACTTTTTGAGCTGTTGTCAGTAGCAATAGTTATGCTAGTTTTAGATGAAGAAATAAACACTTATAAAGCGTGTGATAAAGGACATAGCAGGCTTTTAATAGACTGTTGGTTTCAAGTTAGATTCAATCAAAGTGTTTGGTGTTTATGTTAAAAGATAGGGAATTTTCTGTCAGTTTAACGAAATGTATTCTGCTAAATCATCATTAGGCGCATTTTTGTAACACTAAAGTTACTGAATACTAGAACAAAGCCACTTTCTCAGCTTCGAAATCATGACATTTATAAATCCAATTTAACAAAATTAAGTTGAGCTCAAATTTCATTTTTCTTCAAGTAAGGCATGTAAAGTTGTTTAGCGCATCAAATGATGTGCCTAGTTGTACATTCTTAACGTGTCTCTTGTTGAAAAACTATAGAATATCTTAAATAATCTTCGGTTCAATAACTATAGATATATACTTTGTATGTTTCTTGTAAATAGTAAAATTTTACGCAAATGTTTGACTTCATGCCTAAAAAATAAATTTGCTTCTCTCATTTCATTAGTGTGTTTGAATAGTGTATAGGAAGCTATTTAACAAATAAAAACTGCATCGGATTTTAGTGAAATGTTAAGTAGTTGATATTTTTTTTGTGGCATGGAACAATTTTGATGTTACAAAGAAGTGAAAGAGTGTTTATTGAAAAAATGAATGCATAAATAAACTCTACATAAAATTCTCTATTTTACTCTCTTGCACTCTATCTATCAGAGATTCTTATCTTGAGTCTTTATATATACATTATTAAAATACATATAGTCTACATATTAATATTTACATTGTGAAGGTAAGATGAGGAAAATTCGGAGATTTTAACTTAACCCGCCTTGTTTCGGTCTCTGATGTGAACTTCGTAGTATTTTTGTTTCGACAAAATAAACAATTAAATAACTTTCTGAATAAGAACAAAACAAACTGACAATAAAATTTTCTTGATATACCTGTCTTTTTGTCTTGTCTTTAATTTCAATTTTAACAATTATTCAAATAAACAATAATTTAGAGAATGAATTTACAATTTCAAGAAAAAAGAACTTTAACGTTTAGGAAGGTCAGTTAGAACAATGCTTTTCATTATAAATAATTCTTTTATTTTTCTTTTCAGATATTGAATAAAGAGTTTGTGTCGATTGTATTTGATCTCTTTGTATATAGAGCATAGTATGTCTGTTTTTAGCAATAGAAATGTATATGTTTTACACAAATTTCTTTATTTAGTATGATGAAAGTCGTGATTACTAATATTTTTACATAACACGTTTTTTCTATTAGAATGGTAACGTCAATTTATACCTATAAAATAAAAAGACAATGTTAAAACTTATACTATCGATTTATATTCACGAGACTTATTTACGTCATGTCTTCAATTACAATAGTGAACATGTTTTATTAAAAAGTTCTGATCAGTACAAAATTAAAGATTTGAGAAGAGTTTTGAACGAAGAAACATAGTCACAACAAATTTTCATATTTTGAATCTTTGAAAAAATTTCTGAATATTGATTTTATACCTAATCACACAAATAAATTATTTATTATATTTTATATCTGTCTAATAAATGCTTTGAATAGCACCTGAAATTAGATGTTTGACGAAGGTTAATCTTTAAGTACTCATGTTGAAATCTTTTTTTTTGAGTATATTCAATATGTTTCAACAACTGGAGAATGAGACATCTATCGGACAAAAGTCTTTTTCGTTTCGATCATTACGATCTTCTCAGAAAAAAGCGTTCGAATACTCGAATATTGCGCTTAGAAAAGACTCATCATTGAGCCCTCAAATCATTAGAAAGTGAGATTCGGACAGCTCTATATAGAATTTCAATGTTCGTTGGAGACTGAAATCGACAACGCATAAGAAATTACGGTTTCGCTCAAAAGGTTTTTTATTTGTCCCGTTGTCGGCTGCGATTAACATTTTGTATAGCTTTCAGTCCCTTTTCTTTATTAAAACAAGCAACCTTTTGCAACATTAATCCTATACAATAATAAAATTGGTTTTTGAAATATAGAGAAGTACATTAACAACACTAAAGAATTCATACTAGAAGTAAGAAAGAAATGTATAATCAAAAGAATGGTTAAATTCCTATTGAACCAAATTTATCTGTATGCTACTAGTTCGTTTATTTAAAAACCTATACAAGCCATCGAAAAATCTCGAATAACAAATATCGTTAGTGTGAGTAACAGTCACGTGACATGCGCAGTTTATTGTTAAATATTTCTTGAAGATGTAAATTTTCTTATATTATTTTAACTGCTATTGTTTGTTTGTCGTCATTCTCTGTATACATCTAATAAAAATTCTACTATCATATTCAAGCATGTGTTCTGACACACTGAAAAAAAGTAGAAAAAAATTTCGAAACAATATCAATTATGATCTTGAGTCTAGTTAGAATCGAAGTTAATCTTTAATGTAACATTGCATAATTAGATTATACACATGAACCATCAACATAAATGTTTCACATATAATTCATGAAAAAAAAACATTAATGTACTTGAAATATTCATCGTAAGTTTTTTTTTAAGTATTCTTGAATTTTCAAAAGCAAATCTTGTCAAAATAAATGATAAGTCACATGTATACACAACTATATAGTTATGCATGTCAACTGTTATCAAGTGGACACACTTTTAATTGAGCAAAAGTCAATCTTCTGAAGTTTTTAAGTGACAAAACTACTTATTACAAACGATGTAGAATATTTTATAGATCAAGATTCAAGTATTTCCTGTCAAAATTCGCTGAACGACTATACTTGAAAAAAAGATACAAGTTTGCAAAATTCGTAGAGTTTTACGTAGGTTTATCAAAAAAGAAGTTAAGTTTCATTTCACAGCGAGTTATGATAGGAACTATTTGAATCCTGACCTTAGATATTCTACGTTTTACAATAGATTAAATTTCACTAAAAATATGAGCAAGATATCGAACAAATTAATTTCATATTAACAACACAAATTATTTTAAGATGTTTTTTGTTTTTTACTCATTAAAAAAGAACATTTTGTTCTGATTCATTTAACGAACAAATCTGAATTTCTCTCTACCGATTTTTAATATGTTTTTTGTTTGTCTATATATATTATAAATAAATGCTTCAACATCAACTGTTAAAATCTCAGTCATGAAGATGAAAATAAGTACTCATAAAAGAAGATTAAGAATTATAATGATCTTGTGTTTTAGTCAACAAAAATATAAAAAATAAAATTAATTTATCTGACAATACAAAATTGAATAGAATAACTAGTTCGATCATATTTGGTAATAGAAACATAGAGAATTAAGAGACATTAGATAAGATAACAATGAGTACAAAATTAAATATAAAGAAATTATAACTAACAATATTTTCATAGCACTGTCATTATCGATTAAGATAAACATTAGAGAGTAATGATGAAAATGACAAGTATTATTCATAATACTATTTTTTTGAAAATATCAGTTTTATTTAAATATTTCACATAAAATCAATCATAAATATGTGAATAACATCTATCGAGATTCTCAGTATAATTATACTGTATATTAGATTGAAACAAACAAAACGAAAACATATTCAACATATGCGCACAAGTATCAAAACACATTTGAAACGATACAAACACACTGTCGTTAATTAGACGACAACGCTGTAAACAAACAGGAACACATATATAGAATTACTCATTCGGAACGATGGAACGTTGTGCATTGTGAAGGTCATTTACCATTAGAAGATAGTAGTTTTTGACATATTTTTCTGCTTTCTTACAACGTGCTTGAATTGCTTCAAACACGTTTCGCTTTTTGCTCGTCTATTTTGAATACCTTTTCGCTTCGTTCGTCATTACCTGGGTATATTATCACGACGCAGAGGACACCACTAGTCTATTAGTGATTACTGTGATTCGAAAGGATTGGCTCAATAATAACTAAATCGTCATTGAATCTGAGAAAGCCATTTGATATTAAAAATTTACAATTATAAATAAATACTTATAAAATCCCATCAAAAACGAAAAAAATTATTTCAATAGTATTTATTAATTCAAATAAAAACAAAAATGTTATTAATATTATCATTGATAAATTAATCTATTGACAAATGCCTAAAGATCGAATAAAAGATTTGCCAAAACCTGTAAGTTAATATAATAATTTTCTTTGATTTAACAAATTTTTTTTTTGTATTTTTAGACTGCATGGTCTCGTGTTTCGTATAGAAGAGTTTCACGACAAGTATTAACATGCTAATCGCTTGCAAATATACTCAGAGTTTAGATAAAAGAATAAAAAATATCATAGGGCGAGTTATAATTGTTTGTCATTATTGTTGACTATGTATGCTTAAGTTATGCTATGTGCTTTATTTGCATCTGTCAAAAGTTTTTTTTTTCAAACAAATTCAAATTGATTTTTGAATTTTTAGCGCCATAACCATGAACAACACAATGGCCCAAATGACTGTAGCATTCCTCTTATTATCATTGAGGCGAATAAAGAACATAAGGTGTCTGAATTTTTAGCTCAAGTATGAATAACTTTTTGTTTTTGTAAAAGGTAAAAAAAAAGAAGTGTATTTTTTTTTAAATGTCTTTTAGATTGATTTACTTCGAGTACTTATTGATAAAATCAGAGAACTTACACAAGCTGTTAAAATAATTCATCAAAGAGTGATCGAATCTCTACCTGATCCTAGTATAAATACTAAAAACTATAAGACTATAAAAAAAAAAATGTTCAAAAACTAAATTTCTTTTTGTAGAACTTGGACAAGAACTTGATGAAAAAACTGCTGATATAAAAAGATTAGCATATGATATTACAGCAAAACTAAAAAGTAAGAGATCGAAATATATTAAAATTTGATTTGAATTTATTTTTAATTTATTTATTCATAATTTGATAGAGTTCGATTGGAGATGATTGTAAAATGTATGATTAATTTATTCGTTCGATAGTAAAAACTCATCAAATTCTCTAGTTTTTATGATTTATAAATTTTTCGAAAGTACTTCATTTTGTTTTTTTATTGTTGAGAAAATTGAATCTGTTCTCATTTTTATTAAAACAATGATCTTAAATTTAGCAAATTTGATTATCATAACTTAACTAAAAATCAAAATAAATGATATATTTCGAGTCAATATGAAAAATTCTATTCTTCATTTGGAAACATATCTTTAGTTATCCTAGAAGTCTTTCTATCTAGAACTATATCGCGCTCGGAATTAATTTTGAATTGAAAACAAGTTTTGATCGTATACATGTAATTTGAAGACAGAACTACAAATAAGGAAAATTCCAGAAAAAAAGAAATAAATTTCACAATGTCGAAAAAGTAAAATTCCGAATAGAATATAAGAATTCGAATTTCCAAAGATGTTCTCTCATTCTATTACTACTTAGTTAGCTATATATCAACATTCTTACTAATTGAAAATTTAGTCGGAGTGTAAGTATTAATGAAGAAAAGACTTGCACCGACACGCCCATCCTTCGAACAAGTAAATGATCTTTTCTTATTAACCTTTTTCTATTGTAGTACTTCATTATCATGAATTGTTAAAATATTCAATTTGTTCAACAATAAAAGCAAATTAAAATATTTTTTTGTTTAGCCCGAGATCTGATGATTCTAATGACATTAAACATTCGGTTTTAGTTTTTCTCGGAAAAATACTAAATCAATTAGCAAAAATGCCTTTACACATATGTTGTTTTTAGACTAAAATTATTTTATACTTTAGCAATCTTAAATCTAAGCAAGTCATAATTTTCTAATACGTTTTTATTTTTGAATTAAAATAAATTACTTTCAAAAAATCAAAAACTAATCATATACTTATAAATATTCTATTGCACTCTATCAAATTATGAATAAATAAATAAAAAAATGAAATTCACTCGAATTCGACGGTTTCAATATCTTACAGAGAGAAAAATAAATTATTTCTCTTTTCAAATTAGGACTGGAAGAATTGCATCAAGATCAACATGGAAATAAAGGAAGTGCTCAATGGCGTATGGCCGAATTACAAATATTTAATATAACTAGAGAGTTTCGTGATATTATGAATCAATATAATCAAGAATATTGTGAACATCGAGAAAAATGTAAAAAATCTATTATACGTGAATTTGAAATAAGTGAGTATTGATAAACTTTATTCTTTATCACTGAATAACGTTTCTCTTACATACGAACCTTCTGAATAGACAAAATCAATAGGTTTTTATGATAAGTGTCCATTGATTATGAAGCTTTGGCCTATAGATCAAATTTCTTTGATAAACCGTTTTTTTTGGAATAAAAATTTGGTTTAAGTTTCTTGAAAATGGAAAGTAAAATTTCTAAGCAGAAGAGTATCGATGAATAGAAACAAATCTGTATCATTTATGTTGAAGAAGTTCTGATAATGTAAACTTTGTTCGATTCAATACTGTCTCTTTTTTTTTTGTTCTTTATCTTTAGTAATGTTTCTTACTAATTCTAATTTGAATTATAATCATTCGTACAATGAACCAATTTTGCTTAAGTAGAAATCCTAGTTTTATCAAATTATTGCTATTTTTTAAGTAGAACATTTATGAAAAAACAACAAAAAACATCAGTTTAGGCTATATTTAATTATATATGTAGATACAATTTGTTAGTGCGTCAAACTGCATCTGCTCATTTAATTCTCGACAGTTTAAACAGGAGTTGATGAACATGTCTTCTTAGATGTATTGAGAAGTTTCTTTCATATGAAATGAAATTACTGATCACATACATTATCATGTGAATTTATAACTGAAATACTGTAACAAGACAAAATAATTTTTTCATATTATAAAAATACTTTCGAGAGTTTTCTATTCTATGAACTTTTATTTTCACGTTTGGACTGTCCTGAAAATTTATGACAAACCTCAATCATGTACTGCATCGGTTTTCTTTGGTTCAGCTTACTCTATTCGAAGGTCTTTTATGTACAATGATAAAATTGATGTTGTGATAAGAAAGAAAACAGAATTAAGATTAAAAACATCATTTTTTTTAACTTCATACATTTGTTTGTTGATAGCTGGCATTCGAAAAACTGATAATGAATTAGAAGATATAATTGAAAAAGGTATTCAAGGTGCAAATACTTTTTCAGTAAGATGTTTATTTGTTTAGTTTTGTCTTTATTTTTTGAATTTTGAAACATATTCAGATTATGATTGATACAGAAGAAATTAGACAACAAGCCATTTTTATTGAAGAACGTCATCGTGATATACAAAAACTTGAAAATTCTATTAGAGAATTACATGCTATGTTTGCAGATTTAGCTTTGCTTGTTTCAACTCAGGTATCTATCGTTTATTTTTGTTTATCTATGTAATCATTTTGATGTTATCAAGGGTGAAATGATTGATAATATTCAACAAAGTGTAGCAAAAGCAGCTGCTTATGTTGAACCAGCAGTAATTAACATTGAAGATGCAAGAAAGAAGAAAGATAGCATTAGAAAAGTAAGTATTTCTATTTTAATCATAATTTATTAATATACATTTATTTTTAGAAAAAAATTATTATATGTATTATTGTAATTGTTATTATCGTTATTCTTATTCTCATATTTGTTGCTTATCATACAACTCAGAAGTTCATATCAGGACGATAAATTCAATATGTTCTTTGAACAAAATAGATTATTTTATTATTATTTGCCACTAAATATTATCGTTTTATTTTATTGGATATTTTTTTTTTTCTTCTTTTAATAAATTAAACTGTGTCCTTTTTATTCGTAATGTATCATATTCATCTTACATTTAGAATCTAATGGATGAATGTTGTGAAACTAAAGTAAAGAAATAAAACAAAAAAAAAAAGATAACATTTTGTATGTTTAAATTTTTAACATTCAACTATACGAAAAATTCTATAAGAAAAGAAACACCATAAATGAATTTTTGTTTTCTTTTAATTTAAAAATTTTCTATCAAATTTTTCAAAATAACTTTCGTATGAAATAATCATTCTTATTGATTATATCGTTGAAGATAATTATAGAATTGTTTGGCATATATATATATATATTTACTTGATATTTTGTACTATTCATTGTAGCTTATGTATTGTAATATAAGGATGAAATTCAATTATTAACACTAGTCTGATGGAGAAATTTCTCTATGTGACTCTTATTCAAAAGAATCATAATAGAAAATTTATTAAATAACATTGATTCAATTGGTTCTAACTGAAAATGACATACATTAATTTACTTGAGCATCTTTGCATAAAATCTAATTAGATTGACAAGTATTTTGTTAAAGTTCTAGATTAATATCTAAGATAAGATTATATCTTCAATGATACATGATTTAAGAAGTCATTGAATAGGAAAGTATTTTATGAATTTCTACTATAAATGAATGATTTATTTTCAAGATTAGAATTTAATTAATAAAATAAATTTCAATGAATATTTTCGATTTGAAATGACAATCAATAAACAATTTCCGACATCTTATGATAAAATCAATTCAAAGAACTTCCTTCATAAATTCATGAATAGAAAAAAAATACATCATCATATTTCTCATTTTTTTTTTTTTTTTTGAATTTTATTTGTTTTGTCCTAACATTAATATAATAAACAAAATGTATACATGACTTTTCATCTTTGTTACAATTATTAAATTTTTCTATTTTTTTGAATCAATTGAAATAAAAAATTCTTGAAAATATATTTTATATAAGTAATATTTTCAAATATTAATAAGTAGTCATACTCATTGTATTTTTTACATTAGGAATTTTTATTCATAGTCATATCTAGACTTATGAATATATCAATTTTGATTCTATCCATTTAGTAAATGTTCCATTGTATGGTAGCGTGACATTTAAATTGATGTTCCCCCACTACACAAAAAATGTGTTCCATTTTCTCATATTATATAATATTAAAAACTAGAACACTTTTCAATAGTAGGAAATACCACCTATAATGTTACTATATATTCACTGTGAAGCAACTAATACTCACACATCATCATCAAGAAAAGAATTTCTATAAATAAATTTAAATAACAATCAATATTTGATACAATTTTTGTTAATAGTATTAATTTGAATTTACTAATACATGATCAATTAATAAATAGAGTCTGATTCTTTTCACATAATCTTAGATAATTATTTAATACAAGTTTATCAATTAGTGTACTCTCTATAAAAGAGTTTACCGAGTGCATGTCCTTTCTAATCTTTAATCTTGATAAATTTTCATTTTTTTTTTCCAATTGAGTTCTATTAAGAAGAAAGAAAAAAAAAACAAGGATACTTAAACTCTTTGAAAATCTGCTTAACTTTTTTCAATGATCTTCCACTTGATCTTCAATGTTCACGACCTCGACAATACTCCTATGTCTGTATATTTCACAATGAATATTCATCAAATAAATATATATTAATATTCAAGAGAATAGTTAAACAATGATGACTCATAAATGATTTCTTATTGGTCAAAAAAGATTGCTATGAATGCGCAAATGTTTTGTTTATGAATGCATTAACGAAGAAAAAAAAAGCTTACATCAACTTTAATGGCGTCCGATTACGAGTAGTCTTCCTGTTAGTTTTTTTCCACAAATCAAATAATGATTCATCGATGTGTCTTTCTTTTTTTTTTCCACATAACGTGAATCGAATGATGTAGGTGTATTAGTATAAATATCATGATTATAAAGAAATATAAATTTTGTCAAGTGTCGAGATTTGTTTTTTTTTAGATTTATACAAATGTTTAATAGTTTAAATTGTTAATATTCGTATTCAATGACTAAAGATCGATTGCCTGCTTTGCGGGCTGTAAGTTTTAAGTTGAATTTCAAAAAAAAAAAAAAAAATTTAAATTTTTTTTTTTTTTTTTAATATTAAATTTTTAGGCTCAACATGGTGAAGACAGCGATCCAGATGCTGCCTATGCCGCCATTAATATGGAAGATAATAGTCGATTTATGTCCGATTTTTTTGCTCATATCGATTCATTACGTATAAATATTGATAAAATAAGTGAACTTGTTGAAGAAGTAAAACGTCTTCATTCAACAATATTAGCTGCACCACAAGCTGATGATCGAACGAAAGAAGAACTTGAAGAAAAAATGGCTGATATTAAAAGAATAGCTAATGATGTTCGATTAAAATTAAAAAGTAAGTGACAAAAAAAAAAACTAATCTCGAAAAGATTCAAATATCTTTGATAAAAAAACAAAATGAATAAATAAACAAATTTAGCTATGGAAACTGAATTAGAACAGGAAGGAAATGATAATGCATTGCGTACAGCCGATATGCGTATACGAAAAACTCAGGTGTCGTTTAGTTTTTTTATTTATTAAATATTTGATTTTAATGTTGTTTAAACCTATCCCAATGTTGTCTTGTTCGTAATATTTTGTCTTTTTTTTTCTACCCTCTTTCCAGAAATGGAACAAGAACAAGAACAATCACAAACATCAGCAACCAGAACTCAAGCACAATTACGAATTGAAAAATCACAGGTAGTATATTTAATAAACATAATTAAACACGACACAATACAACAACTGATCCTCATCATTCATATTTCTTTGTTTTTATATGTTTAACTATTGAGCCTAAAAAAACAAAAAAAAAAAAATGAATTTGATTATTTTTTTTTAAACAAAATCTTTTCCTCCTATTTAGCATGCAACATTATCACGTAAATTTATTGATGCAATGAATTCATATCGCAATGCTGAAATTGAATATCGAGAACGATGTAAAGCTCGTATTCAACGACAACTTGAAATCAGTGAGGAATTGTAGATATTGTGTCGTGTCAATATATATATGCTTTCGATATATATTGGTCTATGTATTTTTATTATTGTTAGTTATATAATCATTTAAAAAAATTTAATCAAATTATGATTGATTATCATCTAGCAAAAAGAAATTATTTAGATGAAAATAAAAAAAAATTTGAAATGAGTGAGTTTTTGAGATTAATAAATTTCTAATAATAATTAAAAAAAACATTTTGTTCATTTCAATTTTATTTGTTTTGTTTATGTCTTATGCTTTTTATGTTGTTGTTATTGTTGTATGCATTTATGTTGTAGTTATTTGTTTTAACACAACAATTTCGTGATGTTATGAATAATTATAATCAAGTTCAGTTGGGTTATCGACAAAAATGCAAAGAAAGAATACAGCGACAGCTTGAGATCAGTGAGCTTATTTTATTTTATTTTATTTTGCTTTATTTATTGTTGTTACAAAAAAAACAAAGATGTTTTTTTTTTTATCCTGTTACTTAATTCATTATTGTTTTTTAGCCGGACGTTCCGTAACTGAAGGAGAAGTTGAAGAAATGCTTGAATCTGGAAATCCAGCTGTATTTACACAAGGCGTAAATTTTACTTTCAGTTTTGAAATTTAAAAAAAAAAAATGTTTGTATTAGATTATGGTCGAAACAGCACAAGCTAAACAATCACTTGCTGATATTGAAGCACGACATGGTGATATTATGAAATTAGAAAAAAGTATCAGAGAATTACATGATATGTTTATTGATATGGCTGCACTTGTTCAAACACAAGTAAATATTTTGAGTTTTGTGTTTTATTAAAATAATTTTTATTTTATAAAAGGGTGAAATGATTGATCGAATTGAATATAATGTTGTGCAATCAGAAAATTTTGTCAAAGCTGCAAGTACAGATACGAAAAAAGCTGTTAAATTTCAAAGTGCAGCTAGACGGGTAAGTCATACTAGAAAGCAAAAAAAAGAAGCAAATTGAATGTTGTGTCAATGCATGTTTGTCATTATCTAATATGCTTAGTTTTACACATAGTTGCGTGTGCTTGCTTTTGATTAACTGCTCATGGAAAACTTTTTCTTTTCTCGTTTTTTGACATAACATGTATTGATCTTTATTATTAATGAGTATGATAATTAATAGATGTCAATAGTCATTTTTTTTCATTAAACGTTTAAATAATTAATCTTATTTAGAAAAAAATTCTACTTATTCTATGTTTAATTATAACGGTGGTTATTATTGTACTTATAATTGTTATTTATTTTGTCGTAACGAAAAAGAATTCCTCAAGTGATCCTGTAGCAACAACTATAGCAGCAACTATTGGACCAGGATAGATAGATTAAATAAAATATATACGCATACGCGCTATATACTAACCGGGCATGGCTGTATATAAATTAAATGAGCACATATAAATATTGTTTTCTATTATCTACAATACCTCTTTTTTTTCTTTTTCTCTTTTAAAGAAATTATTTATTATTATTGGGATTATTGCTGCTGTTATTGTTGTCTTGGTGATTATTTTAGCAATCGTTTTTGGTCGTAAATAGCTTTCATTTTCAATAATTTACTTTCACTTTTTTTTCCTCTCGCTCTCGCTCTCTCTCTCTCGATTACTTAACTCATATATGTCAAAATCTGAAGACTGTTGATCGGTCTATCTGATGTTGGTTTTTTTTTTGTCTTTTTTTTTTTTTTTTTTTTTTATATATATCACAAGAGAAAAATGAAGACAATTTTTCTGTTTGTACAGATCTGCACATTCATTGTCTTTCCGTCATATTATTTCAATTTTTGCTATCATTCATTTTGTTATTTGTGTTTGCATGTGATCAAGTACATTATTCATTTATTTATACTTTTGTCGTTTTGCATAGCTTGTTAATTTGTTATGTTCATTGAAGTGCACGCGTATTTATTTAAATTAAAAGAAACCAAATTGAAAGACGAATCATATGTTAATGTACACATTCTATCCTGCTTAGCTTTTGTTTTTGTTAAATTTTTGTTTGTTTTTTTTTTTTTGATAAATGAAAAATCAAATAGAAAAATTATTATATTCAGCATAATGTTTTTGTCATTTATTTAGTGGGCCATAAAAAAAAAAAAAAGAAATTCTCATTATCTTAGAATGATTACATAGTTAGTTCATGTTTTTTTTTTTTTCTTTACATCACTTATATATATTACTTCCAGTTCGATGCCAATGCCAATAAGTATTGAATCATCTTTCATGTTTTTTTTTATTCTTCTCTGTTTTCATTATTAACGCTCATAGACAGTTTGATATAAAAAAATATCCTAATTTTTTGTCCTAGAAAAAATGTTGCCTACTAACAGTAGCCGGTATCGTATCGATTATTTTGCTTCTTATCGTTACTGGTCTTATTTTAAATGCAATTCGATAAATAAAAAATAAAAAAACATATTGTATGAAACAAGAAACAAAAAAAAGAAAATCATATTTGCAATATTTTATTGCGCTTCGTTTCTTTCTTTCATTTTTTTTTAGTAATATTGGTTTAGTCAAATTTATTTATTATTGTTACCATTTTGTCTGCATGTCAATTTTTATATTTTTTTTAAATATTTGTTGTTTTTCCGCTGAATTAAAAACAAAAAAAAAAGAATACATATTGAATAAATTTTTTTTTTCAGAAAAAAATTATTATTCTTATTTGTTTGGTTATTATCATTGTTATTCTTGGTTCAATGGTAGCTGGATGGCTTGGTCTTAAAAGATAGCGTAAGTTTATCAACATCAATGAATTTCTCACTTATCAAGGGGGAACTGAAATATTTAGAGATGTGTAATTCTAATGGGAAACACTTTTAGTATAAATTTTAGCACTATGTATCGCACTAAAATAAAGTGTTAGATTAATTATAGATTATTTATAATTTCTAGAAGAATCCTTGAAGCTTTTTTTTTCTTTTATTAGATAAGATACAGAAATTGAAATAGTTTCAAATAAAAGTCAATACCTATGAGTTTTAGAATTTATTTACAAGCATTTTAGTAGATATAGTATTGATAGAAATATATAAACAGAATGATTCCTAAGGTTATAAATTTCGGTTTTCTTAATATAGAAATCTGTTCGAACACTAATTTCTTATCATTTAAGGTTTTAGAGAAAAAAATAAAACATATTAATTATACTTAAAAGCGTTTGCAAAGAGTTTCTCTAATAAAATATTCATTGAATCCAAATCTTATTTAAAAAAGAAATAAAGTCAATCAGTGTATGATTAATTTTTTTTTCTTAAAATAGAAAGTCTTATATTAAGCTTTAGGCATATTTCATAATTCTTTTGTAACAATTAAAAATTAGATATTAAATTAATAAGTATTCAATGCTGTTTTCAAGGATTTTTCAATCTTATTATATAAAAAGTAACATTTTATGTTTGACTGAAAAGCTCTTTAATTTTATCTGATATAAGAATGATAATTATCAAACATGACTTCCTCTTTTTTTTTCATGCTGATGTTTTATGACTATAGGGCTAAAATTGTTTCAACTATTCAATATGTCATATTCAATAGTGTTCTTCTTTCGACATAAGCAAAACGAGTCTTTTGTTATCTTGAATCGAGTCCTGGAATTATCTTATTCATATCTGTGCTTCTTACTTTCATAATTAATTTATATAAATAATAAAATACTATATTTTTTGTTTTCTAGGACTGATGGATGTGGTTATGTTATATCATTATCTTTATAAAAAAAAGAAAATATGCTAGTTAATTCTGAACTTTTTATTTTTTTTTCTTCAATATGCAATATGAATAGTTCTTTTCTTTTATGTTTGTATAACAATAATTGTGTAGGCTGTATTCTCAATGTTAAATAATTGAGTAATTTCAAAACGAATTAATTAATTAGTACATGTAAGAAAATTATTTAAAAATTTCATTGTCGCTTCTTGTCTATGTATGTCATGTCAGATGAGTGTATTTTAATTTTTGTTTGTTTGTTGGTTCAAATCTTTAATATTTAAGATAAATTCCAAGAGTTTTCTCTTGTTTGTTTTATTTTATCTGAATAAATTATCCAAAGAAAATACAAATATATATATATATATAAATTGTCACACTTGAATGCCTTTTTTCTTGTCACATATATGTCTTCGTTTATTTCCATGTTTGTCATTTTGTTCGTTTTCTCCATTTTCTTTTTTTTTTTTTTTAAAAAGCACACATGTATTATCTTAAATAATTATTTTTATTTCCATAAACAAAACAAATGAAAAAAAAAATAATAATAATAATAAAAAAGGTGAATAATTAATAAAAAATAGCATAGACTAATTAAATTTGTCCATTTCTTTTTTTTGTTTGTTAATGAATGAACAACATAAAGAAAAAAAAATGAAAGTAGTTTATAAATGAATATTTATACAAATTTAATTCGATTTTATATATGGTTCAAGCCATTTTGCATGTGCTGAAAGTTTAACATAAACACCTGGTGCTATACTTGGTGCTGTTGCTGCACCATATGATGTTATACCAAGAACAATCCAACGACCATCTGATTGACGAATAAGTAAAGGACCACCGGAATCACCACTCTATTGTTTTTTTTTTCAAATTATAACAAACAAATAAAAAAATAATATACACAAATTTATTTGTTAAATTGGTTTTTTTTTTTCTTACCATAGTATCTGTTCGTTGATCATAATCACCGGCACAAATTTCTGTAGTAGAATCAAAAACACTACCATAAGTACGGCGACAATAATAATCATCAAATATACGTACATCAGCTGAATTAGAATAAAAAAAGAAAAGTTGTTAGTCAAATCTTATGGGAATAACATGTTAGAAATATTTTTTTTATTCGAAAAAATAAAAATGTTCTAATATAATATCTATATTTTAGAGTTCGTGACAATAATTAGTCACACGGTTAACCTATGAAAAGAGTAGATGATTAACATTTTAAATATTATATTACGAGTCATGATAGTAGAAATATTTCATAATTCTGAAAATAGAATAACAAAAAAAATATAGATCATTTTCTTCTATATTTTTTATTTATCAACTGTTGAGTAGAATTTACAATTTGACCTTTTTTATTCTATTGAAAGGATAAGTTCAATATTACAATAATTTCACAACATTTGACAAAGCTTGTCTAATAATTATCAACATAAAAAGAAATCTTTTCATACATTCTTTGATGTAGACCAACCATTTTCCCAGTCCCTCCAAGATCATCATGCCCTTATCTATTCAGGTGTAAAATTCAAGTATCTTTATTGTATTCTTTTAGTAGCGAATTCAAAATGAAAGGCAAAAACGAGGACAATTATCTCTCTCCAAAAAGATTTTGTATAGTAGAAAGTGCTTGAATATAAATTTCACAAAAATAAAAACACTTGATGATCATAATCATCCTTCTATCTTTCTAATTACTTCAATATAACAATATAAATTTATATTACTATCATAAAATATTAAAAAAGACAAAATTAACAAAATTGAGAAAACAAAAAGTCATATATTTAATATGACTTTTATAAAAAATTTTTACCTTGTTGTAATGTAAAACTTTTAAACATATTTGTAACACTATTATGTGAACTATCACCCCATCCAATAATAACACCAGTATGATTAATAAGTGTTCGTCCATGATCAATAGTTGTATATGGTGCAAATGGTAAACAAACAGAATTTATTTTAGGTCCATAGAGTACAGATTTACTTAATTTAAGTATAGCTATATCATTTTTACAACATTTATCAAATTTTGGATGTCGATGTATAGCACTAATTGAATAATAATTTAATGGATTTAATTTACCAAGAATTGTATGAACACCAATAATAGCTTTCATATCATTAGCTGTTGTATGTGTTAAACAATGTGCTGCTGTTAATATTGTATTTTCATTGATAAGTACACCGGCACAACTCCAACCATGACTAGGACCTGTAAATAATGCTACCATCCATGGCCTTGTCAAAGAAAACAAAAGAATTTAATTAAAAAGTAGTTTTTTTTTTGTTTTTTTTTGTCTATGTTTACCATGTATGCCATATAGCATCTTCACCACCTTTGATTTTAGCAACAACAGCTGATTGTTTATTATAAATAGCTGGTTCATCAGCTGTATAACCACAACCTTTTGTTGTCATGAATTCATGTGTTGATTCTGAATGACCCATAAAAAATGCTCGAAAACGATAGAAAAGTTCAAGAAGATATTCTTTAATTGTTGTTGCTGTTTGTGATATTTTATTACCCACGTTGGTAAAAAATTTTCCAACATCAGATGATGTTGAAGCTTCAGTTTGTATAATACCATTGAGAATAAGAATAAATAGAAAAAGATTCATACATCGAGTTGTACAAGACATGATTATGAAAGATTAGAATATCTTATTCTTCTTCTTCTTATAGTTTTTCTTTTTTGCACGATATTACCATCTGTCAGATTCTCCTTAGATAAATAAAACATCTCTCTTTTTTTTTTCTATTATCCAAGATTATATGATAATAAATGATAAATAATATAACGTAGAAGAAAAAAAAGAAAAGAATGTAATATTGGAAGGAGAAGGTCTATATACATATCGCAAAATTATTCATCTAATATAGACAGGACGAGGTTATACACCATTTATGTATTTATCTTGTTACGTGCTTATTCATATGACATGTCATTTATTTATATAGAAGTTTCATCATGTGATTTGTTTTTCAAAAAATTTAAAAAATAAAATAATATGACTACAATTATCAATGAATTCAAACAAACAGTTTTTCGTTGAAATCATTGTTTTAAAAAGAATTTATTTTTTAAATTCTATTTTATGAATTTTGTTTCTATATTTCGGAAGCATTATTTTCTCTAAATAAATAATTTATTCATGTTTGTATTTGTTGTTGTATAAATTGTCGACGGTTAATTTCCAACAAAAAATAATTTTCTAGATTTTTTTTAGAAGACAAATAGTCTTTGCTTATAATATAGAAAAAAATTCATGACATGAAAATATTTGATTGGAAAGAATTCAATAGTGGCATAACTAATGACGAAACAAGCTTCTCACTGATGGATGTCACAAATCGCTTCACCAGAAAGATTCCGACTATCTAAAGTCTCATGACTTTCATATGTGAAAATAGTTATGCATAAGAGTTCCGCGTGGGATGAGATAATCCCACCCTATGTACCCAGTTTGCAATAGTCTATTTCATAGAATGATTGTTTTTGTCCCATGTCACCTCATAATAATTGTATTGAAATCAAACGTATCCCTTTTTGATGGGCTAAACATGAATAAAGAAAATAAGCATCCGTAAAAAAACTTTTAACAGTTAAATATTAAAATACACTTCCATAAACTGAATTCGAGTTCAATTATTGATGAAATTTAGAATGTGAAATATTTAATACTGTACAAATACGAATGATATTATAAAAGAAACTTGGTAATAGATACTATTTTTTCAAGGATACTCCTAACAAGAAAAAAGAAAATGTTGTTATATTATCGAGTCTTCCAATACACAGAGTACTTCTTATTAGATTAGACTATTTTTTTTGTGTGATTTCTATCTTATTTTATCAAAACAATTTTCTCTTCTTTACTGTTGAAGCTCAGATATTTGAGTATACCTTTAATCTAAAATCAAATTATACAGCTTTCCTTTCCTTAGTTTAAATGAACTAAAACATAATGTTCATGATAAGTGAATCTGACCTCATATGATCGATCTATATCAACGCTTATATTTTCTGAGTCAATTTCATATAATTTATTACATCTGGTTCAAAAGTTTAAATTATGAATGTTGTAGTTTATTGATGAAATACAATCTCAACATTAGTATCACAAATCAAAGTATATTTCTTTTTGTTTTGTTGTATTTGTTTTTTTGAAGCATATTTCCCAAAGCATTCGTTAAGGTTCTTGATATTCTCTTTGCTTGTTATATAATATGGTCATATTGAGAATATTTTCTAGTTTAAAAAAAAGGAAATCTGTCGTAGATTCAGTCGAATAATCAGTTTCTTTTAAATGTTAGCTCTGATAACTTTTCAGATTTTTTTCTAATGCCAATAAGGGATAATATCGCTTTACACAAAGAGAAATCATATCTGTAGAATAGTTTGATTATTGCTTTTGTCAAATTTCTTTACAATAAGTTTTTGAAACCGATTCATTTTTATCCAGCAATGTGTCGGCTCAGCATTAATATTGTATTAGATTCTTAATAGATATCTTTTGTTTATGTTGATCATGAATAATTCTGACACAAAAAAAAAAGATTCTTCAGTTATTTAGTCTGATACGGCTTTGCAACATTTTGATCAACCATTTGTTTTTACAACTGACAGCTTCACATATTCTTGCTCTTCTTTCTCTTAGAAGCGAAGTTTGTAAAAGCATGAAACTTCGGCTATTGTTAATCGAAGGAAAGAATTATTCTTTAAAAATTTGTTCCAGACATAAACGAGATCGAGATACATGTTATAATGAATAAAGTGAATAGTAGAGACATTTATTGTTTATGATAGTAACAAGTTTTAAGCAGTGAAAACAATAAATTCAAAGTTTTATTTATAACAAACACATAATGAGAAATAGAAATACATATTGATAGTTTTTTCACGTATCAAATATTATTAATACGTTATATAAAAGTATTCTTGAAGATAAAAGTACTTCTCTGTTTATTATACACATTTTCTACATATAAGATTATCATTTACTTGAATACTAAGTACTTTTCTCTAAATGACAAATTATTGTGTTAGATTAGAACTTCATATAAAAGAATTCAATGTTTGACAAAAGTTCAAAAACTTGTTTCGATTCGAAAATTTAAGAAAAATACTTGCAGAGTGACCGATCTTCTGATTCTACTTTAGACACGTGAAAGTCTTATATGAAATGATGATGAAAATAATCATCAATGTATAATTAATTTAAAGGAATTTACCTGGTTGTTGCATTCATCGCATTGTATTTAGGTCACTTAATTGTGTAAATAAAGAAACTGCACAATCATGCTGAAGTGTTGAAAACACATTGTCAATAAACGCATCAACATGAAGAAAAATTTAAAGATACATTCATTGTAACGAAGCAATATTAGATTCGATTCGTAATGTTTGTTCACGACTAAATGCTATTATAGACACATATAATCGATATCAAGTAAGTTTCATCTTTATAATAGAGTCAGATTTCGATCATCGTTAAAACATAATTCCGTTCAATAAATGATTATTGTGGTTAGATTACTTATTGATTTTAGAATAGTACAAATTTGAATATAATATTTAGACTTTGATGAATATTACATTAATTAAGGCATTATTAAAAGATCTATTGAATTTTATATTTTTTCTGCAATGTTTTACTAAACAGAAAACAAAACTAGTCGACAATTAGAATGTGTTGAACGCTTTTGCAATACAGTTTTATTTTTCTATAATAATTGTAGACAAAATTTCTTTAGATGAATCCAATTCAAGGCCACAGAAGAGACCTAGTTGAATTTTGGAAACCCAAACAGTCATTGAAGAAACAATGCCATCAAACGAAAGTAAACATAATTCTACGAAGTCCCAGAAACTAAGAAATTGTGAGAACTGTCAAGACTTTAAGAACTCAAAAGTCTTTAGAAAAGCGAAGCTAAACTTTCGCGTTCAGTCTGAATCTGTATTCTTTCAATAGACAATGACTACATTCAGCCTTGAGTTTAAACCCATCAAAAGCATTGAAGCACAAAACCATGGTAATAGTCTCACACACAACAAAGTTATACATCATTTACTATTCATCTTCGCTTTGTCAATCATCATTTTTCATGTAGACATTCACAACGCTTGACCTAAAATTTAATAGCATTAAGAACCAAGAAGCGCAACATCTTGTCAATGCTCTCACACAGAACACAGTAATGCATCATTGACTACTCATCTTCTTCTTGCGAATCTTTAGTTTTCACACAGATATTGATAACACTCAACCTTGCAGTAAATGATATCACAAATGAAGGGGCAGTGCATCTCATCAATGGTCTCAAAAACAATACGGTAATACATCATTGACTACTCTTCTTCCTTTTATGCATCTTCATTTCTCACACAGACACTCACTAGTTTGAGTCTTCACCTTAATCCAACTGGATAACTAGAAGCACAACATCTGACTAATGCTCTCAAAAACAACATAGTGATATAGCATTTGCTACTTCTCTTCGTCTTACGAATCTTTAGTTTTCATACAGACGATCAAAGCACTCGAGCCTTAACATATTGAAACCTAATGACCAACACAGTATCGTACAAATGCTCTTCCTCGCGACACGATATCCGATAATATCGAAAAGTAAGGAAAATGGACGATAGAACTTTTAAAAGAAAGCAGAAAGCTGCATTCGCATGATTTGAATGATTCTATCGGTTTATTCTTTTGTTACCTTGTTTAGTAAAGAAATATGCTGGACTTTCATTCCTCAACGAATCTTCGTATTGTGTGAGTTCATCTGATACTAGAAAGTTCAATGTTCAACGTCAAAGAGAATTTATCTAAATGAAGCTACTTTGTATAAGTGTAAGTGTCGTCGTTTGCTGTAAATAATTATTGCGAATGAGTAGTTGAGAAGTGTTTTGACACACATCTGCGGCATATTATCAAATCCATTCTCAATAGGTCATTAATTTCAGTTTCGAACAGTAAATAGGACTAAGCTATTGACTACAAATCCTTTCCAGAGACAAGGCTTTATTAGTAGTAAAATTCATTTTATATCTGGAGAGACCCATCTATAAACAAGTGTTGCATGAGAAAGTTTTTAACGTAGTATTGCAAAAAAAAAGTATTTTCTTCATTTCGTGAATGTCTCGTTTTTATATATCATTAAGAAATATTCAAAGTATGATATAGAAATAAAACAATAGTAATTCTTATTAGTTCTTTACACCATAGAATAGCAATGATCATATATTACATATTTCTTAGTTATCTATTACAACAAACTTAGCATTACCTAAGGACCCACGGAAAAATTTTTCAAGAAAAAACCGCGTTTTCATAAACCGCGAAAGTCAGACCTTTTATGCGGTTTTTGAAACCGGCGAAAACCGCGGTTTGCAAATACCGCGGTGAGAACCGAGAAAATCGCGGTCCGAGCTGAGTTTTCGCAGGTATAACCGCGGTTTTCTCAGTTCTCATCGCGGTATTTGCAAACCGCAGTTTTCGCCGGTTTCCAAAAACCGCATAAAAGGTCTGACTTTCGCGGTTTTTCAAAATGTGGAACAAAACCGCGTTTAGCCTCAGATTACCGCGGTTTTTTTCGGAAGAATTTTTCCGTGGGGATAACTATATCTAATACACTT